TGCATGAATGGAGAGGGGGAGGAGGAGGGGGAGGAGGAGGAGGACCCGAGCCTATCGATAGGAAGTGAACAGCAGCGACAGGGGCGACAAGTGAGGCAGCTTGAGAAGGACGAGCTTGAGTTTCCCGATGAAGTGCAGACTCCGGACGATCGGCCCGCCAAGGAGCGTTTCGCGCGCTACCGAGCTCTTAAGAGCCTGCGCACCAGCCCCTGGGATCCCAACGAATCCCTGCCTCGCGAGTACGCTCGGATATTCAAATTTTCGAGTTTCGCGGCCTCTCTTGCGCGAGTGACGAGCGAGATGGAGGAGAGAGAAAAGGCGCAGAATCGGCACCTGCTGGCGACCTTGTTGCCCCCACCCGCGTCGAGCGCGACGAAGAAAAAAGATGGGGAAGACGACAGTGGGATGGAGGTGGAGGATGAGAAGAGCAGCGACAAGTTCTCGGAGGGATTTGTGCCGGCGGGCTCCTACGTCACGTTGGAGCTCGGGGGTGTCCCTGCAGAGGTGGGAAAGCGAGCGCAGCGATTGCAAGCAAAGGAGTCGCCGTTGACGGTCTTCTCGTTGCTGCGTTACGAGAACAAAGTAAGCGTCTTGCACTTCAACATCCTCAGGCACCCGGCTTGCTCGACTCCCGTTAAGAGCAAAGACCGGCTCGTGTTCTACACCGGCTTCCGCTCCTTCGAGGCCCGCCCCGTCTTTTCGGAGCACAACCTCAATTGCGATAAACATAAATTTTCTCGCTTCCTACACGGGGGTCGTTTCGCCGTGGCCACCGTCTTCGGGCCCGTCAGTATGCCCCCTTGCCCTGTCCTCGTGTTTCGCAAGTCGTCGCCTGACGAGATGGGAGAGGAAGGCAAGACAGCCACGACGCCGTCCAGGACGGGAGGAAGCGGCTCTTTTCTGCCTGCCACAGCCGGGGTGGTGGAGCCAAAATCACACACGCGCGACCTGACCTTGGTTGCCACAGGTACTCTACACACTGTTGATCCGGACCGCATCATTTTGAAGCGCATTTTGCTGACGGGTTACCCCATACGAGTCAAACGGCGCTCGGCGGTCGTCAAGCACATGTTTTACAATCCCGAGGACGTGAAGTGGTTCAAACCCGCGGAGTTGTCTACCAAGCTCGGTGCGGCGGGGCACATACGGGAACCAGTCGGCACGCATGGTCTGATGAAAGTGCGATTCAACCGAATTATCCAGCAAAGCGACACAGTATGTCTGCCTTTATTCAAACGGGTTTTCCCCAAATTGTTGCCTGAGGAAATCGAAGAGGATGGTGCCCATGCGGCGCACTTTCCTTAAGATGATATACATTGGAAGGCGTCAACATTATTCGGAGGTCAAGGAAGTAAAAAATATTCGTGGAAGAAAAAGGCATGTATAGTATCCTGCGCAACGCGATGACCACATTTATAAGTTTGCAGGTCACGATAACCACATTTGTAAGTTTGCAGGTACGCCGCAAGGCAGATCCCCGCTCTCATAGTCTAGTGGTTTATGACTCTGCACTTTGAATGCAGCAACCTGGGTTAGCGACTGATCGGATCTGATGACCAGGTACCCGACACGAGCCCCGTTCGAATCCCGGTGAGAGCTTTACCTACTTTTTTTTCCCTGTCACTCTTTTTTACTTCATGCCTCATCATAAAGTTAGTGCTGACCATTTATTAATGTTTCTTAGAAACATCATAAGATTGAACATCTCGAAATGAGTTGGCACGGGCATGAGATTCGTTTTACAGATCATAAGTGGTACGACTTGGCCCATAATTTTATTTGCTGTCTTCAACTACAACGACGCCACAACCCCATCTTGTTGCGAGAGGAAATAATTTGTATTGCCCATTCGACGGAAAAATTTGCACAAATTGTGGCGACGCTCTCTTACTTGCGCAAAAGGCGCTTTCCCAAATCCAGGCCCTTTCCCCCTTTTCCGTCTTCTCTCCTCCTACCTCGCTCGAGGGCCTCGCTAAAGAAGTCTGAAGATGACGCCCTCTCTTCCAGTGTGGGCGTGCCCTCTTATTTGTGACCTTTGCATGGAGTCTGCAAAGGTTGGATTACCTTCCCACCTACCACTTTCATCTTCCTTACTTCTGATGATTAATAGGCATTCCGCACTTTCGATTTTGATTCTGCGAGGCCGTAGGCATTCGTGTTCGCATTCGAACACGGAGGGGGGAAATTTTGGAGCGCTACGTGACGGGACGATTCCTTCACATAAGAATTTTTCCTCGTTAAAAATGAAACCTTCGTCGCCATATAGATTTAATATTGACGGCAATGAGATGTATACATTTTCTGTCATTCGTGTATGAAGATCGTGGCAAGTGGCGACCGCTGCACGCTTATAAGTCTGCAAAACGGTCGGGTCAATCGCTTCCATCACTTAGCTTTGCCGGCGCCCGTCGCCTACCTCGCTCCTTGCACAATGAATGTCTCATCAGCACTCATGTGAAGTGACGTCTGTGTACACCATGCGCATACCTTTGTGCCCGTCACGTACTTGTAAGGTCATTTTGCTGCCGGATGTGTGCTCTTCTCACTTCACCCCACAAATGCCTCTCCCACCCAGGCCCTTAGGAGTCATGACGCTGGGGTCTGTCACCCCGCGACTGTGGGCAAGTGCTTTCACCATTGGTCTATCGTCACTTCTGTTTGGTTACAGCCTGGCATGCTTGAATACGGTGATCACTTGCTCCTCTACGCCTTGCCCAAAGGGCTCAATCCTTACAAACCTGAATCTAAGTCTGGAGGAGCAGCAATTGGCCACTGCCATGACAATTATTGGCGCGATGCTGGGAGGGCTTTTCGCTTCCTATCCAAATGATCACTTTGGCCGGCGCAAATCCCTTCTGTTCAACAACATTTTTTTCCTGATAGGCGGCGTGCTCACGGCAATAGCCTCCCTGGACTCCATCCTCGTCGGCCGCTTCTTGCTCGGACTGGGCACAGGGGTCGAGTCGATGGTGGCGCCTGTTTTGCTATCTGAAATTGCATCGAACGAAACTCGAGGAGCTATCACGAGCTTGCATCAGCTTAACATCACGCTGGGCATTCTAATTAGCAATTTGATCGGCTACGGCTTTGTTCCCAACGTGGACGGAGGCTGGCGGTATGTCCAGCTCTTTGTCGTCTTGCCTGCAGCGCTGCAAGTGCTTCTTTTCTGGTTGGTTCCCGAGTCCCCCCGCTGGTTACTCCGGGCTGACCGTAGAGAAGATGCCAGGAGTGTTTTAAGCCATCTTCGGATATGCAAGAAGGGCGACGCGGCGGCTCAGGCAGCCGGAGCGGAACTCGTTGAGGCTGAGCTTGTTGCCTTGGAGCAGGAGTTGGGATCCAGCATGAAGCAACCCACAGCCGGCTGGAAAGAGACTTTTTCTTACGGTAAAGCGATGCGGATCGGAATGTTGATGATGTTTTTTAGCGCCATGACAGGCATCAACACGGTTATTTTCTACTCCACTACCATTTTCGCGTTGGCGGGAGTGGAAAATGCCTTTTTGGGCACCGTGCTGGTGGGTATTTTGAATGTCATCATAACGATGGTGTCGGGCTACCTTGTAGACAAGGCGGGGCGGAAAGTCCTCTTGACGGGCGGGACCTGGATCATGCTCGTCAGCCTCCTTCTTTTGGGCAGCATCCTGCTGGCGGATGGCGTGCCCCCAGTCGCGATCTCGATTGTGGCCGTCGGATCTATGCTCCTCTACGTATTTGGCTTCGCCATCGGTATCGGAGCTGTGCAGTGGGTGGTAGTGGGCGAGGTGGTTCCCACCAAGATCCGATCCAAAGCGTACTCGATCTTTGTCACTAGCAACTGGACCGCAAATCTTGTCATCTCCCTCGTTACGCTTTCCCTCATCGACGCCCTGGGTAAGTCCCTGGCCTCCGCCGGGTCTTCCGTTGAGAAACAGGAGCAGTTGGGTGTGGCTCTTTTGTACATGTGTTTCGCGGGAATGTGTGTCTTGTGCTTGCTCTTTCTCTACTTCCTGGTGCCGGAGACGAAGCATCAGCACGAGGAGAAGGCTGCTCACCACCATCGTCGCGTCTCCTCCGAGTTCGCAGTGGCTGATGTTGATATCATCACCGAGGTGGTGCACTGCGTGGAGGCTCACGGAGAGGGCCCAGTCGACGCTCCGGCCGACGCGGCGGGCAAGCAGCCGGTGTCAATGGTGTAGAGAAGAGAGGCAGGAACAGCGACACAAGATACAAGAAAGGACTAGAGCACGGGCAATTAAAGTACTTGTAAGACTGCAATCATCTAGGGGTGAAGTGAGTCGTAAGGAGACAGACAATGCGAAGTAACAGGATACCGACGCTGAAGATGATGCCGAAGGCGGTGCTCTGAAAGCCTCTGTAACAGCAATAGCTGGAGCAATAGAACGTGTGGAATGAGAGTAGAAATGCATGATGGGTCAGACAGGGCGTCAGTCCAGGTAAAAACGAAAAAAAAAATCCTGGAACACTTTGGTAAAGGGTCATAAGGAATTGTGAAAAAGGGGAAGGATATCATGGCCTAAAGCTTCGACTCGGATAAAGCTTGATGGACAAATATATGCATGAATGGAGCAATAGCAGGCAAGTCGCCTTGGGACGGCACTGTTTCACTGCCATTGGGGCGCAGTGTGGAAGCGTCGGAAGGGTTCGAGGGGGCACATGGGGGGGAAAGATGCATGCTTATGGGGGAGTCCATGCGAGTAACGCCTGTGGAGAAGTGTTGTTCTGCGGTCATTGTAATAGAAGGGATGTGTGATTGCTGTGGTGCGGCACTGGCGACCTCCCGTTGTGACAGCAGCAAAACGGGCGAAGGACTGCCGCAATGGGGACGAAAGACATCAAATTGGAAGACATTTGCGGGGCATCGAAGAGTCTTTGCAGTCGACATTGATGACGAGCATTCTTTCACCCTATGTATACTATGTTCATGCATGCCCTCCTCCTATTCATAGTATGTTCCGGCGCACGCAGGTTGACGGGACCCCAACGGTGGGATGGCGGACTTTCATTCCGTTTCT